TATAATAGGGAACCCCCAAAATAGTGTTGGTAATTCTTTAACGGTTTTGGCTGTAGCGTTTAGGATTTAGAGAAAGGGTTGAGGGTTGAGGGGTGAGGTGTGAACGTGCACAGGTTCTGGTGGCAGTTGCGACAGCATCTTCGTTGGGAAGAGTCTCTCTTGCGCAGGTCTGACAGGGGTGGTGCGACAAACCCTAAACTTCAAGCCCAAAGCCCTAAACCCTAAACCGTAAACCCTGAACTAAACCCTGAACCTTAAATCCTACGCCTTGATGCTTTTTAGAGTTGCTGACACTGAGGGGATCCTTTTTGCGAAGACTCTCAGGCCAACGATGAACATGAAACAAGTAGCAATTTAGAGTCCGAGGCTTAGGGTGGAAGGTTCAGAGTTTAGTTTACCGTTTTGGGGTTTAAGGTTTCGGGTTTGAGGTTTAGGGGTTTAGCATCCAGGGTTCAGGGATTGGCTGTATACACCTCTGCTGTGACCGCTGTCACATAGTTCTCCGTACTTCGATCACCTACCCAGCTTATCTTCTGACTCCTGCAGAACAAGTTCGAATCGCAGAGTCCAAACCCTGCGAAATATCGGGGATGTACTGATTAGAAGAGGGTCTGGGTGCGGGGTATGTTGTTGTATCGCTATGACACGCTATGATAAGGACCCCCAAGGCATGGTACTACTACTTACTACATACTCAAGCTAACCGCGATTGGCATAACAGTCGTGGCAAACAGCTCTAGCCGACTCCTTTGGCCCAGCTGCGCAAGATCGTCTCCTGGCCGTGCAGAAACTTAAAGCTCAGGGACCGCACTGTACTTACAATGAACCGTAAGTCCAAAACCCTAGATCCTAATCCCGAAACCCTATACCCCAAACCCTAAACCCTACAATGCGCTCTAAAAGCCTTCAAGCCTAGTTCGAGTCCAAGCTCGCACATGCTCCACTTTCGTGAAGTCGGAACAACGAAAGTCACAGACTCTACACCTGGTTGAGACTTAAGGTTGAAAATTTAAATGCTAGGGTGTCAAATTAGGGTTTCGAACTCGCGATTTCCGTTTCAGGCGTAGTCGAGGGTGTTCTTATGTTTGAGCATATCCTACTCTGTAGTTGTGAGATAGATGCCGGTTCTGCTTGTGAGAAACTTGTGAGAACTGCTGTTACCAACACCGTATACCAGCTACGGGAACAAACTTGCCCTTTTTTACATATTTGATGGCAAGTTTAATCATGTGACGTGACCACTAGGAGCATGCGTCCATCGTAAGTTTATCCTTGGTATGGTATGTTGTCATCAGGCTTCTGTATTTTTATCAACAGCGGCATTTCCGTCATCTACGATGCCGTAATGATGATGAGCACTGTTTTCGTCAACATCACAACCACTATCACACATTTGACGACAGTGCTAGAAGTATGCCCTGAGCACAGCGCTACTGCCATCATCGAAATGCTAGCTATTGCCGAGGTTGAATCAAGAATGCTGTCATGAACATCAATAACATGGTGGCTGCTGCAGTGGAAAATCTAGGAAATCCGCAATGATGCCCAGACCTTACCCAGAAGTGCCGTTGAGCCCAAGAGCCCAAGGGTGATCTAGCGACTCCTTATTGATAAGGTGTTGCAAAGCCCTTGCGAATCGTGATTTTCAAGTCTGTGCAGACAGGCTTCAACATGGCTTGGGGGGTTTAGGGCTCTGAGTGTTCGGGGTTTAGGGCGAAAGTTGCGGGTCTGTGGGTTGACGTGTTCAGGATGTAGTGCGGCGAAGCTAAAGCCGTAAATTCTTGCTTTGTGACAAGTGCGAAGATTGTTCTGCACTCTACATCATGAAGTCTGCCCGCCCATCCCTGAAGCTTAGCCTTCCCTGACGCTTAGCCTAACATCAAACACAGCTGAATCCTGAACCCAATCCACCAGAACTAAACAGAGGGCTGGAATCTATCTAATCCACTTATCAATCAATCAATCAATCAATCAATCAATCAATCAATCTATCTATCTATCTATCTATCTATCTATCTGTCAACCTGTTCATCTATCTATCGTCGGCTGTCTGTCTATCTGTCCATGAACGCAGGTACATACGTACGTGGGCATGCCTGCCATGCATGTAATGTAGGGAGGGGCCTAATAATTAGAATAGGGTTTTGGGCTCCAGGCTCCTTTATAGTATATTCATAATAAGGAATCCTAAACCCTCAACCCTAAACCCTAAACCCTGAGAATAATATTGGAAATTATTTAGGCTTCCATAGCATACCGCCCCCCACTTCAGACCTGGTCGTCCAGGCGACGCAAGATTTCGGAGTAGTGTCCGACCAGTGTTGAGGACCAGCCATGATCATCCTGGTCAGGGTTTAGGATTCAGGGTTTTAGGGTGTAAAGTTTATGCTTTAGGGTTATGATCCAATACGAACATACAGCGCTTCTGGTAGCCGTCGTCGCGGTTTCAGCCGCAGGACTCCGGGAGTCGTCGTAGCAGCATCAGTAGCTACAACGGAAGCCGTCTAGAAGCTGTGTTTGTCCTGTCATTGCGGCTGCGACTGGGACCTTGCTTCGTTTAACTCGCGGGATCATCCTTTTGAGCAGCAGCTGATATGGCATCAGCATTCGTTGTCGTCGTCGCAGTAGTACTAGCAGCAGCAACAGCAATAGCAGCAGCAACAGGTGCTGTGGTGGTCGTCATCATGTGTTTAGCCTTGAGGCCCTCAACTCCCAGAAGGAAGAACGTGATAAGCAGGACGAGGTGTTCGAGGACTGCGGAGAGGGGGTGAAGGAACTTGTCATGCTGAGCACCCCCGGCAGTGGAAGGGCAACCATGAAGCTTAACACAATCTCTCTTCTGAGTCCTCTCAACCAGTGATGCAAAAACATCCATAAGCCCCACAGCCACCCACTCCAGCCGCCGCCACACCACCACCACCACCACCACCACCACCACCACCACCGCTGCCACCACCAGCAGACGAGAGAGAGCGAGCAAACAACTGCTCAAGGCATGCCGTGATTGTGTCTCTGTTCTATCGTCCTACCATGCATCACTCATGCATCTGTCGAACGGCAACAACAACAACAACAACAGCATCAACGTTCACAAACACCATCACCTCCAGGTAAAACTGGTGAATTGGAACGATGTGGGAATCCTCCTGTCAGCGTCAAAAAGCAGACCATTCTACGCAAGACTTGCAGTCTAGTCGTAAAGCCCTGGCGTCAAACCCCAGAGCTCGGCTCCATACACCTTTCAACACTTTTGAGCGACGGCTCCTCTTTCGGCCCGGCTGCAGGTCGCGGCATGGATTGAATAGTGCAATTAAGCAAAGATGAATGCTATTGCTAACTCATGCCCTCACTTTGCACTAAGGGGTTTTAGCATTTAAACCCTGGACCATAAAGCTTCATCAAACTCTACAAATCTTCATCAAACTCTACAAATCTTCATCAAACTCTACAAATCTTCATCAAACTCTACAAATCTTCATCAAACTCTGCACCCGAAACCCTAAAGCAGAGACCCAGGGCAGATCCGCGCTGGCCCTACGAGCCGTGACGCTTCGAGCCGTGAACGCGAGGTCGGTAAGCTGGGAGCTTCGGGCGTAGACCCCACACACCCTGTAGCTGTCTGGTGCTTAGTAGGGAATGAGGGAATGGGTTATAGGGACTATCATAGGGATCCATTCCCCCATTCCCTACTAAGCACCGGACAGGTAGAGAAAGCTACAGCCTAAAGCCTCTACACCCGAAATTGAAGCCGTAGGGCTCGGGTTTTGGATGTAGGATGTAAGGTTGTGGGGGTGTAGGGCTTAGGGCCAAAAGGGGCCCAAACCCTAAACCTACACCCTTAACCCTGAACCGTAACCTGTTTCGACTCGCTTCAGGCCTATCGAAGCAAGTGCAAAACCCCTAAACCCTAAACCCTAAACCCTGAACCCTAAACTCTAAACCCTAAACCCCCTCGATCGGCTGCAGGGTTTAGGGCTCTAGGGCTTCATGTTCAGGCTTTAGGGTTTTTCGGTTTAGGGTTTTAGGGCTTAAGTTGAAGGTTCAGGGTTTTTGGGTGTTTGGGTTAGGGTTGAGGGTTTAGGGTTTAGGGTTTAGGGTGGTTGGGTTTTGGGGTCTTGGGTAGGACCTCCAGTCCAGTGCGGCTCCCAAAGGCGGCATATCAGAGTTTCACCCCTCTTCCTATGCATATGTATGCGCGTGTATAGGTTTAGGGTTTAGGGTTTAGGGTATATGATATATATATATATATATGTAAGCCCCTTCACCTTGGGATGCAAAAAGACAAACAGGGGTCCGGTTTGTTTACGAGTCTGCCATGGAAATCCTCACTTGGTAACCTGGCACCGTTTTCCGGAAGCTGTACTGTAACACTAAACCCTCAAAAGCCTTTGAACCAGAGCACGACACTGTCAGATCCAACGGAAAAGCTCTGCATCTTTCAGTGGTCTGTGCGGGAAAGATGACGGAAAAGTTTTGGATGCGGCTGATGTGATATACCATAATCATATACTCTACTTTATTTTACTATTCTATACTATGCGATACTATACTATACCATACCTTGCTATACTAGCTATGCTATGCTGTGCTGTGCTGTGCCATCATAAACGATCATGTAATATAGTGTCGTGTACTACTACTCCTACTACTACTACTACTACTACTACTACTACTACTACTACTGCTACTGCTACTGCTACTACTGCTACTACTACTACTACTACTACTACTACTACTACTACTGTACTGCTACAAAGTATTTCAAAGGCCTCGCCACAAGCTGGCATAAAGCCTTGACAAGGCCCGGACTTTGGAGTTCAACTTTCAAGGACGCCGCACTCACACAAAAAGAAGCCAGCATCCTAAGGGTTTTGGCGGCTTAGGAACTGTGGGGATTGGGAAGTTTAGGGTAATTGAATAGGCCTAAAGTTAATGTCAAACCATTTCAATCGGCCCAACGTTAACGTCGGACAATTAAGTCACTGGGCCTATGGTTGAAGGCAGTTCTTAGCTATACCATGTCAGCCCCGTCGAAGACTTCAAGTGACCTCAGGGTGGCCCATCTATGCTGATGCCTTATAAGCCCAAGATTCGCGAAACCAGTAATCACACATACCCTGCTCCCTCATCCCGACATCCTAAAGAACCAAACCCTCGAACATTGGATGATTTTGTCGGGCTTACCACACTCGCTGTGCTGGGCGACGGCGGCTCCACGCACAGCGGCCTCACGGCAAGCAGGAAACAAAGACGTTTCTGTAAGTTTAGAGTTTAGGGATTGGCGGCCCAGAACTTCAGGGCTTTGGGGCTGAGGGCTCTCAAACCGTCTCGAGTTTAGGGCACATAAGACCACGGAACAAACACGACGATGACGATGTTAGGCAATCGTCGCCGAATGCTGCTGTTACCACGACGACCATCGACACGACTACCACCATTACCATCCCTCTCCTCCTCTTCCGCCTCCTCCTGCTCCTCCGCTTTTTCATGTCGACGACGGCTACCACTACTGCAGCTACGACGGCAACCAACCACCACCCCCGCAAGAACTATCTCGAACACTACCACGGACACAAAGTTGAAGATACATGTCTAGCCGGTACGGCGACGACCAGCAGGGTCGTTAACTTAACTATTGGCGCACTTCCGCACATGCACTCATGTCGAATCATGACAGCCAAGCAACAACATCATGCAGACTGTTTGACTACCAGCTACGGAATCAGCCATCCAGGTGCGTCTTTGCAGGTACATTTACCTGCTCCAATCCACGGAGCTTCGTTGGCAGAGGCCGTGCAATTAAAACCCTCTGCCCCCTGTACCATGAATGTCAACAATGCACACAGCCGGACAAGTTCAGTGTGCAAGGCTTGTCGACTGCACAGCAGAATAACACGAACACCAGCACTACCAGCACCACTATCACTACGACGACGACGGCATGCTGGCTGCTACTGCTGCTGCTACCAAGTGGCAGGTTGCCCCACGGCATTGAATTGCGGCGCAGCCAGTCAACCTGCGCACGGCCCCGGGCGACCCACACCGAGAGGTCCTGAGCTTGTACAGGTCTTTAGGGCTCCAGGGTGGCGAGCACCGGGTTTTTGGGGAAATTGGGGTTACGGTTTGGGCTTCACGGCTAGATGTTTGTTAATGGTAGGGCTTTTGTGGGAGGTTTTAGCTGTTCGGATTCTGCTGCTCTGGCAGCGCTTGAAGAATTCCCGGTCTATGAATGTACATGAAGCATCAGTGTTGCATGCCTTCCGAATGTTGTGTATGTGGAGTGTTGGAGTGGCAAGTCGTGGTCGTTGTTGTTCGTATCGAGGTGGTTACTGATGGTGGTTGCTTGATCTTGCGCGCTGTCGCTGTGTGCCAGCTCTGGACGAAGACGACGACCGTTGCTGTCAGAGTTTGGTGGCGTTTCCTACTTGTCACCGTCACCATGTCTATTGTAGCATTCGGGGCGCATGGGGTCCTGCCTCGAAGGTCATCATGGAAAGAGTTCAGAGTTGCAGTCTCTTTGGGGGTCTCTTGCTGCGGGTTGTCGAGCAACATGCGGGAAAGACTCCGAGATGCTTTTGCGCAGATTCTCAGCCGTGGGCTCGTTCACCGGCACAGGGTGCATCCAGATAGGCTGGAACGGCAGGTTCTCGAGAAGCCCTGGGCGAGAGGCCTCCAAGCACAACCCGGCATACCACAACTTCCACCATGTCCAGTATCAACATACCCATCTATCCATCCATCTACCTGCATGCATATCGATCTAGTCATCTATCTCGTCTGCTTGTCTACATCTGTCACTTTATCCACTACTAGACCTCCACAGGGGAAAGACTTATGGGATTTTCCTGAAATTGGGGGTACCTTATTTTAGGGTCCTTGTAATAAGGATCCTAAACCCTAAACCCTAAACCCTAAACCCTAAACCCTAAACCCTAAACCTAGGGTCCCCTAGTTTCGGAAACCCCCTTATGGTGCCACCCCAAAACATTCGTAGCGCAGCTAAGCAGTCGGAGCCCCGGCCTTTCCGAGAACCATCCCAAGAGTACCCGAGGCTCCCAAAACCACGCTTGGGGTTTAGGGTTTAGGGTTTGGGGGCTTAGGGGTTTAGGGGTTTCGGGGTTTGGGGGTTTAGGGGTTTAGGGGTTTCGGGCTTAGAGTTTAGGGGTTTAGGGTTTGGGGGTTTAGGGGTTTAGGGGTTTAGTGCTTAGGGTTTAGGGGTTTAGGGTTTGGGGGTTTAGGGGTTTAGGGGTTTCGGGCTTAGGGTTTAGGGGTTTGG